GGCATCGAGTAATTTTGTCAGCCCGGTCTTCTCTTCCTCGGACTGTAGGGAACCGATCCTGACCACTCTATCTGGGTGGGCTGAGTCAATCTGGACCTCATCTAACTGCTCCTCTGTGAGGAGTTGCTCCTCCGTCTCCTCAATCAACTGACCGTGATCGGACGAAAGGGACGGTAATTGCTATTTGTTACCTTAGGTTTAGGCTATGCCCTTCCCCTTGTCCTTAGACTTAATGGTTACCGTGTAACACTCCTTCGCCACCACTTGGTCTCCTCGGATGTCAACCACATTACTTTCATCTGGACTCAGGCATTGCATTACTTGGTGCAAGGTGGATGGTACTCCTTGTATGCGGTGGATCCATCCCCTTCCCATCAGAAGGTTGTACGTTGACGAAATTCTCTTTTAGATTCCTCCGGGCTGCACAGACGAGTTACTCTATCACCCCGATTGATTCCACTATTTTCCCATCAAACCCCATCAACAAGTTTCCAATATGTTTAACCTGCATTAGGTCGATCATTAATTGTTCGAAAGCTGATTTAGTGATTATGTTTGCACTGCTTCCTAGGTCGACTAAGACTCTTTTCACCAAACAACTCGCTACCATGAGGCTAATTACAAAGGGATCTTTATGTGGAGTTTGTACCCCCTGTAGATCGGACTCCCCAAACTTAATCTGGGTGTCCACTTCCATTCGTCTTGCGGTGCTAATGTTGTTCACCCTTAGCTTTTGTGCCTGTCTCGGGCGTGTTCAAAGTAACTCTTCAGTTTCCTCATCTCCCTTGGGATGCCCATGGATAGTGCTTATGATTCTCACGGGTTGGATTTCGTGAGGGTTTGTCTTGTCATACATTCTTCCTTGCGCGTTCGGCCTTACCATTTGGGTGGGGTGACACTGTCCCTTAGGCAACACATAGTTGGACAACTCCCCCCTGGCTATCATCATCTCTACTTGCCTTCTAAGATTTCTGCATTCGTTGGTTTGATGCCCAAAATCACAATGAAAGGCACAGTGCTTGGATTGGTCTAGTTATTCAATTGGTTGTCTAATCGGCTGTGGTGGTGAGAACTTAGCCTTGTTCTCTTGGTAAAGCTTCGCCAGGAAGTTCTAAGTGGTGTGATGGCTTCTTCTTCCCTCTGACGCTTAGGTGGCCTCCATGGGGCCTGCGGTGCTTGACTTGGCAACTTCTGCCCTTTGATCCTATCACACGAACGGCCCTCAACGGTGACCATAGTGGTCTGATGCACGCGCATAGCCTCCTCCTCTTCCAATTGTATGTAGCCTTGCGCCTTGGCACCCAAGTCTCCCATATTCTTAGGCGTCTTGCGCACCAATGCCCCGTGGAAGAGAGTGCAAGGAATGAGAGCCAGCTTGAAGGCTTCAACTGCTGCTCTCTGATTGCATTCTTCGACCATACTCAGTTCAAGGTTGAACCTGGTGAGGAAAGCCTGCAACCTCTCTCCCTTATGCTGCTTCATAGTGAACAGGCTCGACACGCTCTTTTGAATCTGTTGATTGCCAAAATACTACGCCATGAACACCTCACACAATCGGTGAAAACTTCCAATAGTGCCCTTTGGCAAGTGTTTGAACCACTTAAGAGCTGGTCCGGTTAAACTTGTTAGGAACACTCGTCACATTAGGGCATCATCGTTGTGTAAGGCCATCTTCAGCTGGACATGGTAAACGTGATCCATTGGGTCCGTTGAGCCGTTGAATGACGTAAACGGTGGAATGATGAACTTCTTCGGCTTTAGTGCTTTCAGTATCTCTTCAGTGAAAGGTGAATCAACCATATTAATGGAGGCCTTCGCGGCCATGTCAACTGGTGTCAATGCCTTTAGGTCCTTAAGTCATTCACCTACCTCTCGTTGAACTTTTGTTCGGATATGTCTTTGAAATTTCCTCGAACACCTGGTGTGTGCCCGACTTCTAAGCAATCGTTCTGCTGGTGCTTTCCTGGTCGATCGGTTGGTCTCTCGGTCAGCCATCAAACTTCCTCGGAAGGGGGTCATGGTGGATAAACCCAACGCGGTCATTCTGAGGATTGGCCTCATTCATTACCGCTTGATTCGCTAGCAGTGGTGGAGGATGAGGCTCCATCCCACGCTCCAATCGTGATCGGAGCTCTGCGTTCTCTCCGCGTAAGATCTCTACGACCTCCGCGTTCTCCTTGCGTAAGGTCTAGACTCCTGATGCTATGTGCCTTCTTCGCCGATCATTGTCCCAAAAAGTAGCTGTGTCATCAACTGAATCGAAAAACTATTGGAAAATCACTCGACGTCGATATTTCCCACAAACGGCGCCAGATGAAGATACAAGAAAACAGCTCTCTATTTTGGAAAAGAATTTTCTTACCCTCCAATCAATCTTCTCTACATTCTCTCTCACTTCTATTTATAGAAGTTTACATTTGCCCTAGAATCCCCTCCCTAGCTCTCAACTTTGGGCCTTTCCTGGGTTGGTTCCTTTTTGGGCTGACCCACCACAGAGTTAGGCCCACTACCAAGAAGGATTGGGCTAGGAAGTTGTTGGAATTTTTCCATGAATGGGTGGGCTGGGATCCCAATGGGATTTTTGTCCCTTCAGTTGGTTTAACCCAAAGGAAGTTTAAGAGAAGGTGGTTCTCTTAGCAAGTAGGAAGGAGAAGCAAGTTTACTTCTTGTAAAGGTTTGCTCTCCACCCGAAAAGAGAAGCCATAATGGATTTGGGAAAGTCTCAAGAGGGATCTTAAGTCGAGTAGGAGTTCTGAACCTCGCTAAATCCTCGTGTCATTTGTGTTTGATTCCTTCTTCCCTCATCATATTTACATTATGCTTGCTTGCCTTGAGCTTATTCATATCTTGTTTATTGCACAATCTAAATAGATTTACATATTGTCTTGCATAAATTTTAAATTGGGAAAATTAGCCATTGTTTGCCAAAGACTATTGATTGATATGTGAGAGAATGGAAAAGTGTATTGAATGCTCAAATGATAGCTCTAATATCTCATAAATGTTAATGTCTTAGCATTCATAAATTCCCCAGCCATATATATAGAGATTCTTTATTACTCTAGTGTTGTGAGAATTGATTTGAACATCAATATTTAGAGAGATATATTCATTAAACGTCAATCTTCCTACAAATTTATTGTAAGGGTTAGTTTAACCCAAAGGAAGTCTAAGAGAAGGGGATTCTCTTAGCAAGAAGGAAGGAGAAGCAAGTTTGCTTCTTGTAAAGGTTTGCTCTCCACCCGAAAGGGGAAGTCATAGTGGATTTCGGAAAGTCTTAAGAGGGATCTTAAGTAGAGTAGGAGTTCTGAACCTCGCTAAATCGCCGTGTCATTTGAGTTTGATTTCTTCTTCCCACATCTTATTTACATTGTACTTGCCTTAAGTTTATTAATATTTTGTTTATTGCACAATCTAAATAGATTTACATACTGTCTTGCATAATTTTTAAATTGGGAAACACCTATAATTGGTATGGTATAAAGGCGGTTCTTCAAATGATTTGAGTTCAAATGATCCACACACTTCTACTTTGGTAACAATTTTAACTTCCCATTGTTATAAGGAGGTTTATTTTGTGAATTTTTAATTTTTAATAAATGGAATGCAAGTATTTTAAGTCTCTAAATGCAACTTAGAAGTTTTAACTATTTGTCAATCAAATGAAATTTTGAATTGTATAACACTTGTAAAGTTGACCAAACGAGGCCTACAGCTCCAATTATTAGAAAGAGAATATAGGACATTACCATAGAGAACGACGACAAAATGATGATATTCAATTTAATAATTAAATTCATTAAGTTATCTGGTCATCAAGAAGCTTAAGAAGATGTGTCTTGCTAGGAGTCTTGAACCCATGAATGTGGTGCATGTAGGGCTGCAAATGACACAAACTTTCGACAAGCAACTCGGGCTTGGCTCGTTAAGGGCTTGGCTCGTGTTTGTTTGTTTAATTAATGAACCAAGCTCAAACAAGATTTATTCGTTTGATTAATAAATGAATCAATCTCAAACACCCTTCTACTCGGCTCATTAATTTGTGACCATGTTCATGAACAAGCTCGTTAATAGGCTTAATTTGAGCTCGTAAATAGATATAGTTATATAAATATAAAATATACATACACACACTATATTATATATTTTTAAGCCCACTTCATGTTAACTTAAAGTCTTAAAAGTTAATGCCCATCCCAACCATATGATATTAGTCTTCTTAAGAAACTAAACAGCCCAAACCCAATATGATATGAGCCTTTTTAAAAAGCTAAACAACCCAAAACCGTACACACTATATAGTTACTTATAACTTTAGGCCTAATTTAATTAAAGTAAAAAGTCCCATTTCACTTTCAGAACCCCAAACTAATCCCAGCAAAGGAGGGTAGAACAAAAAAGGAAAGAGTCCAACCCCAGCCGCAACATCATTCCTTTGGAAGCAACAGCAGTGGAACTGCTCATCAACAATGGCAATGGCAATGGGTTAGCATCACATGGCTCTCTCTGTCATATTTATTCCGAAATCTCACACCTTTTGTAGATCTGATCTGAATTTGGGTGGAGAGTGGCAATTATATCAGGTACGATACATACTCAATCATATATATAAATATATATACACACACAAACACATACAAAGTACACAGATTGTGTTTTGAGTTTGTATATGCGATTCGTCTGAATTTTTTTTTTTTTTTTTGGATCTAATCGAGGTACCGAGCCGAGCTCCGATGTTTTTGATCATGGTCAAGCTGAGCTCAAACACTTGTGGAGAAGCTCGAGTCGAGCTCGAGCACCATTCCAACCTGATCGAGCTGAGCCTAGACAAGCCATTACTCAGCTCGATTGAAGCCCTAGGTGCATGGCAACCTCCAACAAACTATACTAGATGAGTTTTAGAAAAATATAAAGTCGCCACACACTACCATTTATATCCTAATGCACATAACTGACAAGTAATAGCAATGTGTGTGTATGTGAGGGAGAGAGAGAGAGACCTGCCGCTTTAGTTGCATGAGTCCCAGGTGCTACCTTAATATCCACCTAGAAAACAACAAAACAAATTGTTAGAGAAGAGAACAAGAACCAAAATAAAGAAGACTCAGATTAAAACTAGAACTTGGAACACAGCAATAGTATCAAGGCCATATAATATTTGAAAACTTCAATCAAAATGTATCACAATCAAAACATAACAATTTCACGATAATTTTGAACTACATATAAAAGAGAGCAAGAGGGAGAGAGAAAAGTGGCAGTTATCTACCATGGTAGTATGGTACCACCAGATAGTTGGCCTGATTAATAACATACAGTCTGTAGTATGTAACACACTGATCGGTGAAACCGATCAGTCTGTAGTCTATAACTTTCCCAAGGTTAATGTCCATCTCCATTCTGGGAATCAACATCACCTGATTGGACCATTACATTTGAAATTCCACAATACTGAAGAACAACTAGGTTTAACTAGCTTATGGGTCCTGTAAAAATTACAATTAGCTGGAGGTTTTTGACTATCTAGTAAGCGTACGATAAACCACTTAAGTTGTCAAACTTAACTAGAGTAATCTAATTCGCTATTTTATTGTATCTACCGAAAGAGGAAAACCAAGCTTATGTTTTCCAATAACTGTTTATAACTGGGAGTATTGCCTGTAAAGTCTAAGAAACAAGGACGCAAAGCCTATTCGTATGCACATGTTACATAGTGTCAGATATATCAAATTCTCAAACCAAATGACTCATAGACACTGCTAAATATTCACAGAATCTAATATTCTATTTTATTTTATAGAGTAAAATAATTTATTTTTGTTACGTAGTGTTTACTATAGGTGTTTGACTCGTTTTGAAGCAATATTAAGATAAAGTTGAATCATTGGATGTCCTTTTTAGGTGCATGTCCAACTAAAAGAGTCGAAACATATCCGTGTTTGAGTATTGTGTGTCCAATACGAGTACTTCACCTACTTTTGAAGAGTCCATGTAACATAGCCAATAACCATAAAATAACTGCTACTTTGAAGTTCTATCAACCAAACACCTACAAGTTGATCCCATTTTAGCACTTGCTCATTCACATCTTGTAAAAACTTCTCCCACATATTCAAGAGCTAAATCTATAAGCTTTCCATGGCCCATGCCCACTAAAAATCATACATTTTCTTTGGTAGCTGAGCTTGTATGACCTTGTTCCTTCACACTTTTCCTACATCAACTAAAATTCAGATATCATACTGATTAAAATTGAGGTGAAGTTTGATTTGAAATTTTCTAAGTTGCAAAAGGAAATGGCAATTTTGGGAGAAAAGGGAAAGTTTGTAGTTCTAATGTAGTGATACCTCAGCTAACAATTCAGTGGAACAACAACAACAACAACAAATACAAAAATAAATAAAATAAAATAAAAAATCAGTGAAATTCAAATGGCAAAAGAAACAAAAATTTGGCAATTGAACAAAGCTCAAATACAACTCAAAATAATAGCCAACTACACGGATACTAAAATCTGCATGAAGAAAGGTGTTCCCGAGCATTTACAAAACATATATGAAGAAGCTTTCATAGTAAAATGGCCAGTGTTTTAAACTGCTTTCTGATAAGAGCATCAGCACATTATGTTTGAGCACTGATTGGAAGCTGAAACCCCCAATCTTCAACTTCTCAGGACTTCAGAACTTATACTAGTATCCTTTTCAAGCCAAGATGAGGCTTTGGCTGCAGGATACATTTGGTTGATAGGGCGATTTTGCTATATGGCAAATGTGTTATTCTACTGACTTCTTCTTTATTTGTTCTTTCTTTTCTTTTTTTTCTTTTTTTCTTTTTTTTCTTTTTTTTCTTTTAACATACACACACATTCAGGGATGCACGTGATAAAATATGACATGAAAAAGTTTACATACTGCATCCGCATGTGCTTAAGCTAATGCTAGAAAGGGAGGAAACTAGTAAGAAGTTTGCATGGTGAAGAAAATAAAAAAGGGGAAAAGGAGGGAAAGGGGGTAGCACGTATTTGAACAGCGTCAAAGGAATATGGAATCTCAACTAACATGGACAAGGACTTGGTCTTTAATCAAGTTATGGGAGGAAATATTTTAATTATGAACTTCCCAAAAATCCTGAATTAAAGGTTTTATACTATTCTTTGATTGTCAGGTATTAATAAATCCAGTAACTCTTTGTTTTCACATGCGCAGACACAACAACACATCAACAGCTAGAACTAAATTGATAATTGTGTCAACTTCCAATATTCAACAATTGGAGGCTCATCTAAATATAGCAAAAGTAAATAGATTATATAAACCAACCTAACCATAAGGTAGCAGAGGTCATACCTTATAACAGGAAGGAGATTGCATATAAGTTTCACACACAAGCAAAGGCCAATCACTGTTGCCATGCTGCAATGTTCCACTATTGGAGTAAATGTAACCCTGAATTCGAGAATCATTTTGCATTTAAATGGCTGATGATGAAACCCAGTTCAAAATGAAAAATGTAAAGAAGGCAGAAGAAATCAATTTTACCTTACACAGCTATTATTGTCATCTACCTCAATTGCATCTTCTGTTTTGACCTTCAGCTCTTCAAATGAATAAGGATGTTCTGGATCTTTTATGTCTCTAATATTATTTAAGACTATGCTAAGAAAACAATGAGTTTCTCCAAAACTTAATAGCACAGTATGATTTGTTCCAAAACTTATTGTTCCTACCTACTGATTATGATAAGAATATCTTCAAAGAACAAATATAAAAGAAAAAAAAAAAAAAAAAAAATGTTGGAGAGATATGTATAGTTCCTGCCTAAAAATGTTCAACATGCAAAATTTGGTTCATTAGGACTCTAAATCCAGTGCTCAAATTATTTGATCAAACACCTAAACCATAAATTGGGCTATATCCAATTTTTCATTGTACATGCCCAATTTTAGACCTCGATAAAGCTTGACCAAATATAATGGACATAACAAGCATCGGAAGAACCAGCAGAAATGATATAAAAGATTTCTTGATTATCAATGTGTTCCACAGTATACTCTTCCACATCACCTGGAGAGATTTGAGCACTACTTTCCTTTTTCTCATACACAATAGGATTGGCATTAATTAACCCAGAAACCATTTTCACTGGCCAAATAGAGGTTGCCAAGTCAGCCTGCTGCAGGTAGAGTGTTACATCAAACATTAACTATTACAACTTGTATTTAGAAGTAAATTTGTAATGCATATACCTAATCACACACAAAGCTGTAAATCAACGACACAATAAAAACTAAATTCAAGAAAATGACTCTGTTAGCATAGTATTCCACAATAGAAGTCCTTTCAGAAGATGGGATTTGTAAGAAGTCGTGATTTTTGGTGCTTGCATATGCTGAAAGTTCTTCAAAGACAAATAATTTCTCAGTTTACAATTATGCAACTGTGGGCCAAAATCTTAAATTGTTCAAAAATACGGAGAGTTTAAAGATGAATTTTCATAATGAAATATTTCTATTTTTAAGTTCATCCTAGTATTTCCCAGTTTTGCAGCCTGAATCCAAATTTAATGCCCCAATAAGATTAGAAGTTACATAGTTTATAAAAAAAATTGACAAGAAAAGTCAAATGAATCATATAAGAATCACAAGTCTAATTTCACAAATTTGAAAAAACGAAGCAGTAAATCATAATGATTTTATTCCACACAATTGGACAACTTGCTTCAGCATTGCCAATACTATCAAACATCTTAATCTTAACTGAACAATTTTCAATATTTGAATTCAACCAGAAAGATAGAGGGTGAGAGACAGAGTGACTCGATTTGTTCAAATTTTCTAGGGTTCGATTTCGCAAATCAACAGGCTCATCACAGTGAGCTAGATAGTGAGAATCTAACAGAGTGAAAAAGATAGAGGGTGTGAGAGAAACGAACCCGGTAGTTGTTGTCGTCGTCGGTGAGTAGTCCTTCATCTCAGGCGATCGTGAGTTAATGAGAGACGAACCACAAGGAGAGAGAATGAGGGCTATTTGATAAACACGTTTTCAAAATTTTAAAAATAAAAATAACGTTCTTTCCATTCCATGTGTAGAGTGAACTGTCTAGGTAGACCTTGAAAAAAAAAAAAAGGGAAGAAGAAGAAGAAGAAGAAGAAGAAGAAAGAAAAAAAGAAGAAGGAATTTCACACACAAAAAAAAAAAAAAAAAAAGTGGTAGTAACAAAAGTATATTAGCTATCATGAATGAATTGTAGTTTGCATATTTACAAATATATGAATTAATTTTTAGTTTAATTTTTTTTATAAGTTAAAATTATATTGTTGTCCCTAAAATTTATTTTATGCATAATTTACTAAAGAAATACTTGCAAGTTTTAGAATTTTGTCAAACAGCACTTAAAAATTGTTACATCGCTCAAGAATTAAGAAATACAACGCGTAGCCTATAACGAAGAATAGAAGAACTGTAGAATTATTTGAATACAGAATATTTTTTAAGCTAGACGACAACTATTTTAGTTATATGAATATAATAGACTTTAATAACTTAGACAACTCTTTAAAACGAATCGGAGAAATTCTTGATTATATTAAAGAAAAAGTAGTACAGAATTCTAGTCCAAATAATTTAGATAATAAAAGAACATTAGTCGCCATTAAAGATATAAATAACGATATTAAAAATATTTCTGAAAATTAAAAAATAACTATAGATTATTTAAAATCTCTTAAAACCGATATTCAAAAACTATTACAATAGTTTTATGAGCACCTAATAATCCTGATTATCTAACATCTGTTTTACAAACTTTAAAACAGACGTATATCAACTAATATACATATTAGACAAAATAACTTTTTAATCCAGTTATTACTCCAGTTAACTGAAAAAGTTAATAAACTTGAAGAAAAATTAGAAGTTATAAAAGAAAGTATTCCCAGAGAATCTTCTAAAGAATTATCTGAATTATCAGATAAAATAAAAGGATATAAAGTTATCAACCATTAATCAGTTCTCGCCTGTAACCATCTAGCGTGTTAATTTATTACAACCTCGTAAAAAAGTACCACAATGGCCATTATCCTTAGAAAGGCCAAAGAAATAATGAAAGTAGAAGATTTATATGACAATAAACATGATGCTAAAAAATATATAGAAAAAAGAATGAAAAAGATAAAAAATAAAGTTAACCTTTATTCTAATAATTTATTAGACTTTCAGAGTAAAATATATAATCATTTTAGCTAGAGAAGAATAAGTGCAGTTAACAATCAAGTTATTCTAGACCTTATAACACCCGAAGCATGTTAAGAATTACATGATAATAATTTAGAACTTATGCATTTAGGTGTCATAATGATGGGATTAGTAGAATTAACCAGAACAGAAATTGGAACTAGAGCATTTGTTTATATTTACAATGATCGATGGAATAACCATCAACAAGCACAAATAGCCAGCGCTGAAATAGATTTAGCAAACAACGCAGCAATAGTGGGATGTATTCCCAATTATACGATGACTACTAGAGAATTTAGTAAACATATTAAAATAGCTATATCCACAAAAGGATACAATATGACAGGGCAATTTGAAAACCTACTAGTTAATACCTTATTTATGGGAAAAGCAGTTAATCGATATAACTTACAATTTAAAGCACAATTCAGTGAAATAGTTAAACCATTTAGCAGCAAGTATGTTTAGATGATAGAAGGTAGAAAAGTAAGCAGTATTACCCATGAAGGAACAGAATGACAATTACATAACTTACTACTACAACTAAAAAGATACCTGAAAGTAATATGATATATGTTAAAAATAGTGGAGAAACTAGCATAAGGTTTAGTAATTATAAAAGACAGGATAATTAAGTCGATGATATCCAAGAAGACTTTTTAACCACACTTATAGAAATAGAATCCCCTGAATAAATAAATGTCTTTTACGATAGACTAGAAGATGAAGTCTTAGATAAAATAATGCATAACTTTGACAATCTTGAATTAGAAGATTTGAAAGAGAAATATCATGAGCCAAATTATCAACTTATAGAAAGCATTTATCTAGACGAAGGAAATAATGATGATATTAAGCGAAATATCTTAAAAGTATGGTTTGAATCATTCTATACGAAACACGAACTAAACACCTTAAAAGAAGAATTAAATGTAAATGTCGAAGAACAAGTAGAGCATAGAGAAGGAAAAGAGCCAGCAGAATCTTCATTTCAACCTACAGGATCTGTAGACCAAGAAATGCATAATGCAACTAGTAGTACTAATAAAATAAATGATGAATATCTCACGGGACAAAGATTGCAACCTACACTAGAAATATATGTAGAAAATAGAAACATACCAAACACGTACACGTGGACAGGCGCTACGATAATATCCTAACACATTATGCAGAAACCATATTAGACACATCACAACATGATCCCCAAGATTGGTCAAGAGTAATTGACGACTGGGAACAAGACTGTATTAGAACAGCTGTTCTAACCCGGTTTGATAATATAACACAAGCACTAACTTATTGTGAAACTCTATTAAGAGGCACAATTCAAGACTGGTGGCAATTTTACAAAGTTACTTATGTTAATGATTACAACATCGTAAAAGATAATTTTACAATTCAACAGTTCACTAGTTTAATCAAAAGGGTATTACTAGGTGAAGATAGATTATTAGAAGAAACCCAAATCAAGCAAAATGAAGCCTTACGTAATCTAAAGTTACTATAAATTTGTGATTTCAGATATATAAGAGATTATACTAATAAGTTTTTTGAATATTTTGCCGCTACAGGAAAAACCGGAGACCTAATCTTATTAGATCGATATCTTCAAAAATTATCAGGAAGTGTAAGAATTAAGATTTGGGAAAAATGGTTAGAGAACCCTCGAAGGGATAGATTAACTATAGGTGATAGAGCTAACCATGTCTATGACATGTTAAAAAAGGAGTGTAGACAACGTAGAGAGTCTAAACAAATTAAGAAACAATTTTTTGATATATGTAAGCAATTAGACTTTTCATCACAATATGGTTGTATACCACAGAAAACCTTCAAAAGAAATAAACCACGAAAATATAGAATAAGAAAAAGTAGAACCTATAAAAATTATAATAAAAAACCATATTTTAAGAACTTTAAAAGCAACCCCAAACCATTTAGAAAGCGTTCTTGATATAAAAAACGAAAAATAATTAAAGATAAAAAAGACAATGAGGATAATAAGGATAGCAAAGTTAATACATTACCTACAAAGGAACGTAACTATAAATGTTTTATTTGTGAAGATCCAGGTCATATAATACCAAATTGCCCTTATAGATATAAACAAAACCCTATTAAGCAAATACAAGAAAAAATCAATATGCTCGAGGATATTGATGAACAAATAGAAGAATTATATGAATTAGAAAGCGTTTATGATTCCGATGACGACAATGAAAGCATATATAGTATAGAAAGCATAGATAGTGAAATTGATGAAGACCTTGAACAAGAACTTCATTCCATGGAAGATTATATTTGCACTATAAGCAATTCCTCATGTCATTTACGAATTTGTTAAATTTCATTTCTTAACCTACAATTGTAAATAATGTAACTCTTCCATTAAAGAATGACATTATTGTAAAGACCATTGTAAAACTCTATTATGTTACGACTATTATAATAAATACGAAAACAATCTAGAAAAAACATTAGTTGAATCCATAAATTCAATATATAAACCCTCTAGTTTAATTCAATTTCCGGTAACATTAGAATTTAAAGAAAAATTAGTCCAAATTTCAGCTATGCTAGATACTGGAGCATCTAAAAGCATAATTCAAAAACATTTAGTCCCAGAAGAAGCATTAGTAAAACTAAATTATAATGTTAATATGAGTTAATATAATAATGAAAAACTACCTATAACCCATTGTGTTCAGAATATTCCTATATTAATTAATAATGAAAATTTTATTTTACCACAAACCTATGTAATAAATAATACTCCCAGTACTTATGATTTTATTCTAGACTTAAATTTTATCAACTCACTCACCGGAGGATTCATGTATACCCCTACCGGTTTACAGTTTTTTAAGCAAGGAACCTTTATTCCATCTAACCTTTCTTGTATTCCTCATAAAGAAAAAAAAAAAAACTATTACTTATGTCAATACTTTACCTATGACCGAATTACCTATGACAGAAGAAAAAGAAAAAAAAAAGTATTTGATGTAACTGAATTTATAGACGATGTTTTTGAAGCATTAATGTTTCTTAGTCACTTTAATGAACCAAAGATTTTACTTAATAATAAAACTATATTAAAAAACCTCAAAATTAAATATTGATAATCTTATAAGATTAGCTGAAACCACTAAGATATTAGGCGAAGATCCTCAGAAACATTGGTATAAAAATAAAATCGAAGCCAAATTTAACATAATAAATCCGTTCATAACTATAAAAACACAAGATAATCCGCATACCCTAGATGATCAGGAAGAATTCCAAAAACAAATTAAAGAACTTTTATTACTAAAAGTAATAAGAAAAAGTAATAGTAGACATAGAAGTCCAACTTTTATGGTTAGAAATCATTCAGAAATAAAAAGAGGAAAAACTCGTATGGTTATAAATTATAAAAGATTAAATAATAACACATACGATGACAGTTATAAAATTCCTAATAAAGATGTTTTAATAAACAGAATACAAGATAGAAAATGATTTTCTAAATTTGACTGTAAATCAGGATTTTGGCAAATCCGTATGGCTGACGAATCCATTGAATGAACTACATTTACATGTCCTGAAGGACATTATGAGTGGTTTGTTATGCCTTTTGGATTAAAAAATGTATCACATGAGTTCCAACGAAAAATGGATACTATATTCAATAAACATTTAAAATTCTGTTGTGTTTACATAGACGATATTCTAGTTTTCAGCCAAACTAAAGAAGAACATAGAAAACATCTTGAATTTATATTCAACGAATTTATAACACAATGACTTATTATAAGTAGTAAAAAGATAATATTAGAAAAATAAGACATTGAATTTTTAGGCTTGTACATAAAAGATGAAAAAGTAGAACTACAATCACATATTGTCAAGAAGATTTTAAACTTTCCCGATAAATTAGAAAAAACCAAATTACTACAAGTATTTTTAGGATTATTAAATTATGGTCTCAATTTTATTCCTAAATTAGGACAATTAGTAAGACCCTTGTATTCAAAATTAGGTAAACATGGTCAAAAATATTTTAATACTCAAGACATAGAATTAGTTA